CCGCCCTGAGTCCCCCCTGGAGAAGGGCGGCATACAAATAAACCTAATACTAATACTAATACTAATTGAAACCAGCCATTTCACATCAATATTATTAAATAAGTCAAAATTGAAATGTTTAGCGATTGTAATTATGATTAAAAACTGTCACACCATCCTCTTGGTCATAGGATCGCCTTTTATGACCTTTCCAGATGGCTTCTGACCTGAAAAGTCAATGGGAAACCCAGCAGGAAGTGTCACAAGTCATGGTCATACGATATCTCACTTAATGACTGCATTACTTTACAATGAACTCTCTAGTTCCCTTTGTGGTTGTAAGTCGAGGACTATTTATATCTTCCAGTTACTACACTATTACTTGGTTACATTTGGATCCAAAATAAGGCTATATCACTGACCTGTTATTTCCAAAGTGAGTGAGTTAAAGAAATAGTAGGATAGTGACCATGTGAGTATAGTTTTTTTCCTGCTAGTTGTGAAAAACAGCTACCTGATCTCTTTACTCCTAGTTGCACCCACTTCTATAAACCATTATTATATGAACTGCCAGTTATGAAACATTCCTATAAATTTTCCATACTTATTTTATGCCAAAGTATTTCCGATATATGATAGGCATTTGTATTTCATTCCAAAATTCTCAGAGCAGGAAAATAAATTGCTATTGGTTGCCCTCCATGAAATTGCCTCTATTGTAATAGAGCAAAACTAACTTGTGATGCTACGTCAGAGAAAAGCTGATCCCTAAAATATATTCCTTTGGCAGGAATTTCTTGTATGTATATGAGTACTAGAACAAAGATGCAAACAAGTGCTAAATATATTGGCAGATAAGTAAATTACAATTACCTAAATTTAGGAAAATGGAATATATTAATGTAATTATTAGAATGGTTTAGGAAGGCCAAGTGCTGCAAGAAAGAAATCTGCATAGTTTTAAGAATAAATCTTTTACGTAGTACACTAATCTGACTTTAGCTTTTTGCATTCCAACTGTGCATACATTTTTATAAGATTTATACAAACTAGAATGCCAAACATGTTCAAATACAGAGCTTCCTTTATTAAACATAAGATGGTTTTACCAGTTATTGAAAAAGTATGACAATTAAATGTTCAATCCTGGCAAACAGATTTATAAATTATAATAAAAGTCTATTTTTGTTAAACATTTGTTAATTTATTTAACATTTTAAATAAAGAGAAGCAATCTGAATTCTTTTGAGCTAAAAAAACCTGTTCAGCAAAATCTGTTGGACAAAAGGACTATATTACAGGAATTCAAATTTCAGCAGTAAGCCTTGCCACATTTCCTGTATGAGTCAATTGGAATCTATTTATGTAGTTTCACCCACCCTTATGGATCTTATGGTTAGGCATTCTCAAACTAAGAAATAGGCGTTCTTGAACATTATGGATTTATTTCAAATATATTGGAGTTATGCTAGTATTTCTTTACATTCTGATTATAAAATAAAATTTTTGATCTGATATTTCAGCTTAAAAGAAGAATTATAGAAAGAACTGCAAGTTAGCTTGATTGTTAATACTATACTAAGAAAAATGATATGATTTCATGATCTCATTTCAGGGGGCAGGAACTGATGAACAAGTCTTGACTGAAATTCTTGCATCTCGGACACCTGCTGAAATCCGAAATATAAAACAAGTTTATCAGGAAGGTAATTTTTGGTTGTGGGAGTGTGGCATGTTTCGGGGGTGGACAATTTGTGGAAGCTTACCATGTTTCCCCTAAATTAAGACATGTCTTAATGCCACATTTTTCTGGTGGGCAAAAATATAAGCCCTCACGCGCAAATAAGCCCCCTGGAAAAAAAACCACATCCGGCCAGGCACAGCGCAGCTCACCAACCTAGCGGTATCCCAAAGGTGCCAAGCTGCGGGAACCGGGGGGGAGGCAAAGGTGATCACATTGCTTAGCACCTTCAGGATACTGCTAGGTTGGTTGCTGTGTTGCGCTCCTGCGACAGCGCTACACAACCATTCGCCCATGAGGCTGTGCCTGGCTCTTTGGGAGCCCGCTCGCAAGAGAGCAGCCACCCGGCAACCCCAAAACAATAAACCCTCCCCTCATCATAAGGCCCAAGCCATATTTTGTGTGTAAAAAGAAAATAAGACTCTGTCTTATTTTCGGGGAAACACGGTAGATCTTTTAGCCAATTTTCTCAATACAATATGTTCTGTTCAGGAATAAATGCTTATGGCATTCTGAAACTAAAGTGACTGGCCTTTGAATAAAGGAAATGTTTAGTCATGTATTTTTTTTTATTTTTAAATTCAAATTTTGTTTAATAATGCAAATGGTTTTGGATTTTTTTGCAGAATATGGAGCCGATTT